AGCGGTAAAACGGGCAACACGGGGGCAAGCCCAGGGTCAGAGGGTCAGATGATGTCGGTATAGAAACCTGAGCCCTCAGGCCACGGACGTGGTGCGAACTGGTGCTAGATGGGTCTCAGGGCATCTGTTACCTCATTGCTGAGCCAGGGGCAGAGCAGACACAGGAAGTAAATCGGTTACACAACAAGACACACCAGAAAGACATGAATAATCACAGAGAACTAGGAAGAGGACAGAAGTAGAGCGCCCTCTAGGTGTACAGGGCATGACAGTACCCCTTCTCCTCCCCTTCAAGTTCGGCTCCTGACGGCAAAAAAGAGCTAAACAGCACTGGAAAGGAAAAACCTCATTTACTGAAAGGAAACCTCTGGGAGTCCATGGCTGAGAGCTACCCCCTCCTCCAGGGCAAAAAAAAACTTTATTGAGTAGAGGAAGGGGGGGCCGAACTGGGCTCCGGAGAAGCGAGACAAAAAACACGCAACAAAAATAAATCCTGATGGAATACCCCTTTGTGCCTCGCTCTGTGAAACTCCAGCTTTGACTCCCACTCGTCATACTGTGTTGATGCCTCATTCCATTGTATGCTAGATCCCCCTGTCCGCCTACGTGCTCAGCACTCCTTGACCCCTGTATGTGTGTTGACTGATGTTTCCCTGTTTTGTCTCCCTCTTGCCCAGCAGGTCTCATTGAAGAGTATACTGTACTTTTACATTTAAAGTGTAAACAGTATTCCACAGTTATGGCATAAACAAAGAACAAACAATATACTAATGTACTCAATAAATATATTTGGATATCTAAAAGACTGAGGATGGAAAATATTTCCAACTATTTTTTTGGAGGCTACAGACAAAACACTTTTAGCTCTTTGGATCGTGTACAGATGCAGCCATTCAAAGTGCGCGGCACAGACACGTACCGGAGGTAATTGGCTAAGGCCTCGCGCGTCACAATACAAAATACCGCAGTACATGATTAATTGACAGACAGGGACATTCATGGTGCATTGGTCGGTCGTAGAAAGATTTAAATGTCTTTACTGTGCCCATTTTAGTATTGAATATTTATATGGAATTTTACCACTGAAGGGAAATCTTAGTAG